AACTCGGCCTGCAGCCTGCTGCATGTTTCATTTGACCCCGCCTTTAGCTTCACATTGTGTTGTGAAGTGCATAACTATTTGCTCATAGATGGTGGTTTTTAAAGAGGACTTGTCATGCTTATATTTGTATGTAGTGTCTCTACTGGGACATGTCTCCATGCTTTAATGCTCAGAAAGCTCTTTATTGTCTCATTCTGCCTGTGCGGCAGCACCTCTTTTCACCCTCTGTCTGAAACCAGAGCCCAGTCTGCTCTGATTGGCTAGCTGGCCAGCTCTGTTGTGATTGGTCAACCGCTTGGATATATGCCACCTAGCTTATCAAGTGCAATGTGTTGGAGCACTAGCCAATAGAAGCGTGAGTGTTGTGTAGTGATGTCACTATGTTACAGAAGTAAACAAAGGAGTCCAATGGAGGTGTTTCAGGCATAGGGGAGAGTGTGGGAGAGAACACAGGGATTTTAGCCTTTACAGATCATTTATTACTATTACATTATTATTATTATTATTACATGTCACTTGTTAGACGCTTTTATCCAAAGCGACTTACATACATCCGGTACTGTGGGCAATCCCCACAGGAGCAATTTGGGGTGAAGTGTCTGAGGGACACAACGACATGCTGACTGCAGTGGGACTCGAACTTGCTACCCTCTGATTCGAAGTCCAGCACACTATCCACTGAGCCACAGCCTCCGTACATTTACAAAAACCTATATAACACAACATAGGAAAGGCAACAACCTGAAAGCATAATAGGGCCTCTTTAATAACTTACTTGGAGAACATATAATGAGTCCTAAACCTGAGTGAGCAGGTTAGCATTATTGGGCTCCCTCGTCTCGAAGTTAAAATAAGTGTTTGGTTTTATTCCCACAAAAAAGGCTGAGATTTCCACGTTTTGTTATACGACATAAAATACGTCAGTAAATACTCCACTGGTGAACTTCTGAAGCGTTTACATCTCTTAGAAACTGCGGCTGCTAACAAGTGGCTACATGAGACAACTTAACGCCAGCACACGAAGTTTAGCGGTGTAGGCGTGAAGTCATGCAAACTTCATGTACTTTGTTCATATCATTGCGTTAGCTATGTACTTCTGCCGAGTTCGTTTGTTCTTCAAAAATCATCACAGTGGTGTTAATATGTGGAGATGATCCTGCTGAAGAACATGTGTGTCATAAACATGTTTTTGCAACAGATCTTATTTACTGCAATTTTCCAAAATGCTGTCCAGGGATGCTCACTTCAGTTACGGCCGACAAAAAAGATGTCATTACTTCACAACTCTTGGAATAGCATTAAAGAGAAAAAGAACGTGTGCAGTGAGATCTTATTGTCATTCAATGCGTGTTGTTTTTTTAGTGCCAAATCATTCTACCGACCGAGTACACATACACCACAAACAGGTCTGTGCATGCTGTGCCTGTATTTCACTTCATCTCTATGGCTTTCTAATGAAGTTACTTTAATGCTCCGGATACATTACAAAAGCCAAGTGTGTCACAATGTCCAACTGTTCCATGAGCTTACATCACAGCTTCTGTCAGTTAAACAGCAATATAACGACGCGTAGCGCAGCACTGTTTCTGTGCCAGAGATGAAAGGCATAACACAACAGGTGAAATATAAAGTATTCTCACACATTGAGAATAAATGGAGGAGAATAGTTTTGAGAGAATTGATTTAATTTAACATTAGAAAATGAAACTGCTAAAATACATTATCACTCCGTCCTGATTTCCTGGGTCTCTGAAGCACCACATGTCCGTTACATGCCCCTCTGGGAGACCTGTGGATGTTTGACATTAATCATCACCCCTGCATACATACTGCACACCCAAATGAATCTAGCTCTCCAAAGCGACACACAGCTCTGTACATGAGTGTCTGCTCCACGCTGTTGAATAAATAAAGAGAGAGGATTTGCATCCGGTCAGATATCCTGTTGCTCTCGGTAGCGAGGGAACACCAGCACAGCATGGCTCATCTATTATGCAACAGAGCATGGCTTCATACACTCTGTGTTACAGGACGTTGATGGTCAGTAGGTTTATACAAAATGAAAGAGTCCTCTAGATCAGTGGTTCTCAACTGGTCAGGCTTCGGGACCCACTTTTTACTTTGGCAATAAATCGCGACCCACCATTTTGAACCACTCAAATCTATTCAACAAAAAATCGTGCTGTAATATATACGCCTTTCAGCAGTGTAATAGTGAAATACAGTGCATATATCCCTTCACAGAACCAAAGCATTCTGGTACACTCTGAGAAGAAAATAAATACATCTATTACTACCCGACATATTAATAATATTTTCTGCCATTGTTTGTTTTTCACGGGCCTTAAAAAAAAAAGTTTAAAAAAAAACTTTTTTCTCTTCACTCACACATCCGCGACCCACTCGAAACGGATCCGCGACCCACTCGAAACGGATCCGCGACCCACTCGAAACGGATCCACGACCCACTCGAAACGGATCCGCGACCCACTCGAAACGGATCCGCGACCCACTCGAAACGGATCCGCGACCCACTCGAAACGGATCCGCGACCCACTCGAAACGGATCCGCGACCCACTCGAAACGGATCCGCGACCCACTCGAAACGGATCCGCGACCCACTCGAAACGGATCCGTGACCCACTCGAAACGGATCCGCGACCCACTCGAAACGGATCCGTCCGCGACCCACTCGAAACGGATCCGCGACCCACTCGAAACGGATCCGCGTGCCACTCGAAACGGATCCGCGACCCACTCGAAACGGATCCGCGACCCACTCGAAACGGATCCGCGACCCACTCGAAACGGATCCGCGACCCACTCGAATCGGATCCGCGACCCACCAGACAGTTGAGAACCACTGCTCTAGATTGTCATTGATGGATTCTACTTTGAGTTTTGACTATAAAATGTGTCATTACAAATAATGTATGTTTTGATGAGAAAGTTATTGCTAATCCTTCCAAGTGTGGAGATGTGCTGTGGCTGATCAGGAGGTTGTGGATGTTTAAAAAAAAGTGTCATGCTAATTTTCATCCAAAAACATAAAAACACCCAAGTAGAATTATTCAGAAATGTGAAAAAAGTCTTGAGAAATCGCAAAAAAATTCCACTTGGCTTAGGTGGAAAAATTGGTGTATCAATAAGCGCAAAATGTGACATGGAATTTCATAACGATTGATGTCCCCTTACTCACATTAATACATGAAGCGAATACAAATGTGTATATCCATTGAGTTTTCACCATTTCAGGTCACCTGGCTGTCTTCTGATTTCCTAATGTTGTTGCATCTTCTTCTTCTGCGTCGTTATTGTAGGACACAAAACAAAATGCTAATGTTGCATCTATTATTATAATGATTTGTTTACACCGCACACAGGTGTAATTGGTCACTTCCGGCACAGATGTGGTTTAAGGTATTTAGTCCACCTGTGGTGTACTGGGCTTGTGTGAGAAAACAAAGAGGTTGAGCTGGCTGACCTAACTGTAGCAACATAACTTATTGGGAATTTTGTCGCTACAATTATAATGGTTTTCCATCTGAAGAGTTGGCGCCACCTGCTGCTTATCTCCATGAACCAGCTCCTAATAATTGCATAACTGTAGTGGATAGAAACGAGAATAGTCTGCATTTTGAAATATGGTAAACATTTTGATGAACATCCGGCTAGGACGGCTAACATGCAAAGAATTGGAGGAATGGAAACTTCAACTTAGAGGTTCTCCTCAGTAATGGCGTTTGGTCAATAGGAAGCTTACAGTGTGAATTTCAAATCCTGTCTCCTTTGTCACCTCTTCTGACCTCAACAACAACAACAACAACAACAACTTGAAGTTCCCTAACTGACTTGACAGTGGACGTGCCAGTCAGGAACAGGCCATTTTCTTCTAGGGCAAATTGCAGGAAGCACAATATTTGTTGAAGGCTAAATATGTGTAACCAATCATAGCAGACTGGGCTCTAGTCTCAGACAGAAAGGAGGTGCTGCAGCACAGGCTGTATGAGAAAAAACAAACACTTTGTAAGACATGAAAGCATGTAAACATGGCACAAAATACCAATATAAACCTGAAATGTAGCATAATAGGGCCCCTTTAAACAGCATCAATCAGTTTGTGTATATCTGTCTCTGCTTTGCCTCGTATCCTGTCACTGCAGCACAGAACAGGGACTGAGGGTCCTGTGGTTGCTAGCAACAGTTACCATGACTCCAGTCCGCCCTGCCTAGATCTTCCACTGGACACTGTGTGCTAGTTCAAGGGACTGACTTCCTGTCAGTGCATTTCTTCCTGTAACAGCAGACAGGCACTTCCTGTGGACCAAAGCTAGAAGGAAATAGATGGAAGAGATACGGGAGAAGCCGTCTCTTTTTACAAGATCTGAAGTTGGGACAGATGGAGGAAGTTGTAAGGGATTACTCAGGTTGTTGAGTGAGAGCAGTGAAGTTTTGTAAATGTTCCTACAACTCTTTCAGTAGAGCAACCAGATTCACAATACTTTAAAGGAATAGTTTGACAGTTTTTGGGAAATTCTTGTTAGCTTTCTTGCCAAAAGTGAGACAAGGAGATAATACCACTCTCACTTATTTACAGCATTCAGCCCTGGCACGGGAAACAGAGGAAAGATGCTATCTCCAAAGTTAACAAATCAACCTAACAGCACCTTTGACAGCTTACTTATATTGGTGAGAAAGCAGAGGAGCATTATTTTAAAGGGTCAAAGTATTTCTCAGCAGCTCTTGAGGTGGTCAGCGTTTTTTATTATTATGATCAATAACACTAGACAGGTGTGACATATAGTAATAGGAAGACTATCATTATCAAATCATCATCAAACCCACGTTTGCCCAATCTGAATCACAAACTTTATTGTGTTGAGCTAAATGTTGTTTACCAAGTGTGTGTTCTGTCTCCAGGGCCCTCTGCTCTCCAAAGTGGTGCAGCCCAGCAGACAGACGGGGTACTGGGACCGCTGATACCGGAGGAGCATGAGTCATGACCTCAGTGGTGCTGGTCGATAATGGTGGGGCGGTGGTGGAGTATGTCACAGCTGAAGAGGAGGACCCTCAACAGGTGGGTCAGACCAGAGTTATATTCTAAACTAAAACTTACACTATAAATATTGTGCAGCGAGTCGATCATTGACCGTCTTGCTGCACATAATCCCGCTAAGTACACGGCTACATACTAAATAAACTGACAACTGGATTCACAATTTTAAAATCATTGAATTGATTCCAAAAGTATTGCATTGCTTCTGCCGTACCAACGGCTGAACTGGGGCGACAACGACGTAACTTAAAAAGACGGCAGAACTGAACGAGTTTTCCTGGAGCTGTCCTAGTCTGTTCACATTTTCTTTTCCATGACCAGTCTTTGAACACTGTAAAGCACATATGGTGTTCCTGTTAGTTCTACTTCCTGTCTGTCTTCTGCTGATTCTCTGCCATCCAGCACTCTGTCTTTAAACCCCTCACAGCTGACACCGACAACAACAACAATGGCCGATTGTCCTCCAGCTTCCTCTGTACCTCTTCGGAAGACCAGATTCCCAGTAGGTAGCTGGTCTCTTCAGTGGACCACTGCTGCTTGTTACGTTTCTCCATCGTTGTGTACAAGCTGGATAATACGCCGGCTTTTTGTTGTTGTTCAGGAGTTGATCCCGCCCCTGCCCCCGCCTCGACGTAAGCGTGACGTATGTGGTGCTTTTGCTCTGGCCGGACAATTTTTTGGTGCTCGAAATGAACCGGATTCCGGAGCTAAGAGGCTGCTCCGCTGCGGTGTGAACAGGAAAACCCGGTGCTTTTCAAGCTCCAGCTCCGAACCGGCCCTGAAACACCGTTGGTGTGAATGACGTATAATTCTCTTGCACTCTTTTTCTGTTCTTTTCTGGGGACAGCAGTTCAATATACAAATGAGTATACAATTGACAGAATAAAAGCAATGTAGACAATAACAAATATTGATTGATAAGAACCAAATCATCAGCTACATTTAAACAAATATATCGACTCAGATGAATACATGATGACTCAGACTTGTGACTCTGACTCGAACTCAGGAAATGACGACTCAACATGGATTCTTCTTGGGTGACTCGGACTCGAGCATAGGTAATGAGGACTCGACTCGAGAAACCTAAAACGTATTGCCTGGTTTTAACACTTATTTAGCAATAATATGTCACTAGAGAGAAAAGGAGATGGCATGATTATCCTTCAACTATCTTCTTATTGAACCACAGAAACTCAGAAGGTGCTACGTTGCAATTGCCCCACAAGCAATCCCAAAACAAAACGACAAAAACGACCATAGAATCAAGTGCAAACTTTTTCCGGAAAACAGAAACTAAATGAGCAGACACACTGGATACTACCTTAAACTGATAGCAAGTCAAAGAAATGTTAATAAACTCAAAGCTACATTTACCTTGGGTCGGACATAAGCAAGAGTTACACTGCAACTGCAGTCACAACAGAATTCTTTCTTCTTTTCTCGCAACTGCCGTATTATCTTGTTTTTATAATGTCTCTTCATACCTTTCCCCTGCAGGAGGGAGAGGGGGAGGGGGACTTGGAGTTGGAAGGAGAGGGAGAAGGCGAGTGTGAAGATGAGGAGGCCTATGAAGAGGTGCAGGACAGAGAGGAGGCTGAGTACTTCCCAGCAGTCATTGTGGAGGAGGTTCCCGGCGCCAGCATGGCTGAGGAGCAGGGCTACTCCGCCCAGGGCTACTCCGCCCAGGTGTTGGTGTACGACGACGAGGTCTACCAGATGCAAGAAGTGGGGGATGAGCAGGAGGTGGAGACAGAAGTAGTGGCAGGTGAGACAGAAATACTCCTGTGTTTAATATCCTTTTGGCACTGTGGGTGGGTTCATCTAATGACTATCATCCAGCCTCTAACACACCCCACTGCCAAACCTTGGTCAATAAGCTTCCTGTTTCGTGCTGAGATATTTGACTCGCAGTTCCCATTTACTTTAAGGGTTGCATATTTTAGAAACCAATTTAGCTTTATAGGAACCCCTACAATTACCATTTGTTTATCAATGAATCACATGCATTTCCAATAAACATTGCTCTGGAGTCAGGACGAGTAGGGCGCCTGCATACCCGTGAGACTCTATGAGAATGATTTTTTAAATAATAATGTTTTAGAGAAAAAGTGCATGTTTTGCAATAAGTAAGCAAATGACTGGATAAATGAGATTCTTATAAATTCAAGTGTCTCTTTAATTTGTTGTGAAACATCACATTTGTGTGCTGTGAGGTCTCTATGTTCACACACTGCCACCTTGTGGGTGTTTTTTGAAAATGAACTATTACATAAACTATTTTGGTGTCCGGTAATCTCTTATTAAAGGTGACCAGTGTCCCTTCTGGTGCACTGTATTCTAAAGTAATACAAGCTGCATTCATTCACTGTCCCACATTTAAATTGTTAAACTGAATTTTCAACAGGATGAAGATATTGTCATCATTATCAGTAAATATTTCTGATCACAGAGTATTCACTTGATACTGTACATATAGTATACTACATATAGTTGACTGTATTGTTAAATCTGGATCCAAATATAAAATGCTGTTTAAAGCAGATGGATGAAGTGGTTACATGCAAAACTAGAAATGTTATAATACTTGGTATCTACCACCAACAATAATAATAATAATAATAATGGGTTATTATAACGCACTTCATATTTGAGTTCAAATCCCGAAGTGCTACAAGCAGTGAGCATGGAACAATATAAAACAGTACACAACACGGTAGAATTGAATAAAAAGCAGTAAAAACAAATAATAAAAAAATAAATAAAAGGGTAGTAATAAATAAAAGAAATGGTCTAGGAAAAGTCTCTATTGGACAGATGGGTTTTGAGGCTATTTTTTAAATTGAGTAGACAACATTCTGCTCAAACAAAGCAACAAACGAGATCTAGGAAATCAGTTATACATATCATTGTTTTGAGCAGAAGTTGATTAGAAGGGCTGTCTTGTTGAAGTTTACTACCTTTATCCGGCAATTTCTTTGTAAACTGCAACCTTGTTCTCTGATATTTCGATTTTTGTTGAGTGAGTTATTTAAATCACAGTACAGCTTTATTTGACGTTGTCACTACGCAATGAGGGAGGGCGAAGGAAGGATTTCCTGTGTCGGCCGCGGAGGGATACCGTACTGCCGCTGTAGTGTGTCTAGTTGAATTCGAAGAGATTTCCCATTAGCGGCGGATTGATCTGAGCTTGTAGCTTCCTATACAATTCAGTGAGGAGTCAATGTGAATCTGCAGCAAGGGGAAAACATGGCGACTTCACAGCATGAGGGGCACGCAAACCAGCTCGATCTGCTCATCAGAGCCGGTAACGTATTTTTATGTACTTGTAAAATCAATCCGGGAGCTAACTTTTACTTGTGGGGTGTGTTTGTAAGCTCGACCGCTGCGCCTCAGTCCGCTCAGTAGTGTGCTAAATAAATGGAGGGCAATCAGGAAGTGATCACCTTGGTTAGCAACCTGCATGGCGTTGCTACACGGTTTACTAAACCCGATTTAAAAGATATGAAAAACTTCCGCAGGGCTTTCCAGTCTGCACAAACCGAACAATGGCTGCACAAAGTGTGTTTTGCATGTAGGAGCAGATTTTTCCCACTGCTGTGTGAGCTTGAATAACGGTCTGCGGGTCGGCTCTGCACAACCAGGAAGTGTAAAGATGTTGTCTTTCCTACGTCTTTGCCACGCTGTCTGAGTCGGAAGGACATGTGGGTTTATTTTCACTAGCATAAATGTGGTGCACACCGTGAAATATCTACTTTGGTGATATGACTGACGAGTGTTGGTGTATTTAATTGTGGTTGTCATAAGTTTGTGGGAATGGTGGGCTGTAACGGTCTTCACACATTTTCCCTTAATAGAAGTCCATCAGTCATGAAAACGTTTTAACCATACTAATTTATTATTGTGAATGTTATGTGTTGGGGGTTCATTTTCCACATTTCTTGTGAAGTTGTTTTCTTTTATTTCTATATAATTGTGGGTTTCCGTTATCGTGGTGTGCAGCTGCTGACTGAAGCGTGGGACGGCCTGCCTCACTCGCTTTATTCTCTAGTTCTTTCTGATGCGGGCGGCTTCAGTCTTCGATCATACATATTTACAAATCTCTTTATTCGTTCGATTTCAATAGCGTTATAACCGTCCCTGATAATGAGCACATAGTGTGAACATTGTGTCGTTTTCACCTCTGTTTTAACATATTTTAAAGTATTTTTGTCCCATCTCGATGGCGGAAGCATTGTGTGTGGAGAGGGCGTGGTATGTTGTTGAATGATTACCCTTTGGTCCAATAGCGTGAAAGCTGCTATATTACGTCAGCACATGTCCAATCAGATTTAACCGTAGGCGGAGTGTCAACCTAATAGTTGGCCAATAGGAGGTAAGGAGGTTGTTGAGTGACAAGAGGATTTGTGAGCTTCTTCGAAGGGAACTGGAGGGAAAGGATGAAGACTGTAAATACGGAAGTCATCAGAGGCCGCACTACTTTTTGTCGGACTTGCTGCTTGGCGCCCCTACACAGTTGAATGGCTTATAAAAGCCTATTTCTTTTCCACATATTAGAGTACTTTTTCTATGTTTTACCTACACACAATGCACATTAATTATACGCATATCTATGTGATTAATTTCTTAATATTGAATAACTAATGATAAATCAAAATACTAACATTTGGGACGACTAACTAATGGCCGAAGTGTCTATTTGTGGTTGTTTAGGTCAAGCAAAGCTGCAGCTCTTTGACATCACACCTTTTAGTGGTCTTGTAAAAGTATGGCTGCCTGTTTTCAAGGGCAGCTGAGCTCAGTAAGCTATAGGGTCTCTGCTGTGATGGCCACCAATATGTCCTGTTTGTTTCTGAAAGGAATTGAAATCTAAAGATAGCCCATGTCTCCCCTATGCTGTGTCGGTTGCCTCACTGAGATAGCCAAACATGGACAGGGCAGGGTGTAACGGGATCTTGTGTTTCCCACTAGTGATTGACACCGACAGCAGGTGCCCTACGTGGCAACTCACCATTAGCTTCAGGATGATTTTTAAACTAGATTGTGTCTTTAAAATGCCATATTTTAGATAGTTAATAAGGATGATATAACTCCTGTCACTCAATATCCAGAACCAATCCTGGTATCTTGCCACCTCCAAAAAAGATTGAACGTGCCATGTAAAAACTGTTAACTTGTTTCACAAAGGAAGAGCCAAATTCATGAACACATTTCCCACTGTGAACTTTGACCTTTAAAAGCATATGATGCTTGGATCAGATCAGTATTTGTTGTCAACTAAAATTGCCATCAATTTTGGGAATTTATTTATTTCACTAGGAGGCGCCATATAGTTGCATTTTGTATGCTGCACTGTTTAAATACTGGGATAATTCATTAATTTGCTAGTAATTTTAAGGAAGTTATTATGTAAACTATTATTCTGTAAACGATGGCTAAGGTATGTGAAAGAAAGCTGGTGTAGTTTCCTTGAGCAGGACAGAGACTTTTACCGTGGGGATAATTAAAGAGCAACTTATATATTTAGCTTAGACAGGCTCCACTGTGTTCAAATATTATTTTGTTTAACTATTTGCTAATTGATTCTGTACGTTTGTGTTTCAGTGGAGGCTTCTGTCCATGGAAACCATGTGTACTGCTCTGACAAGACCATCGAGGCTGCAGAGGCTCTGCTCCGCATGGACTCACCTTCCAGCATCAGAGGAGACCGTAGCCCAGGTAACACACACTAACTCATCTAACACTTCACAACCAAAATGTAGAAATAATTATAGTTGTCATTTTTTGTTTTGATCCAACATGATTGTGTTGTCAAATAATAATTGTTGGGGTTTGTTATCTTTTCTGTAGTTTGTACTTGCAGAAAGTAATGTATTCTATCTCAAATATGTTTCAAATTTCCCAAAAATAGTTTTGAGGAGATCTCACAGAGGTTTAACACAATATCTGCTTTTGTTGGACACTATATTGTCCCTGCAGTATTTAGGCGCTTTCCAGGGCTGAACGATATACCGTGTCATGGCGATAACCGCGATATGCGCATGCGCGGTAGTCACACCGCAGGGATGTGCGGTTTTATTCATTTAAAAAAAAAAAAATGCTAACGCACTTAAGCACAGAATTCAAAATAAAGATACCCTTATTACTTATCGAAACTGCACATACAATATATCCGATTAAAGCTGAGACTCCACAGATTATTTAAGTATAGTATCTAAGCGATCCGATCTCGCGACAGGGGAAGCAAACACAGACATCACAACACGTACCTTTACGGAGCTTTTACGGGAGATCGTCTCACCGTAGCTGTCAATCTGATCAAAACACGTGTTCAATGGCATTAAAACGCGAAAAAACGTGAATGAATCGGTTAATCCATAGGTTAATAATGTATCTGTGGCTTTGAAGCAATTGTTTATAATCCATAATTCCATTTTTATGTAAAAATCGGAGCACAAAAGTTAGCTGCTAATTAGGGGTGTAACGGTTCACAGAAGTCACGGTTCGGTTCATACCTCGGTTTGGGGGTCACGGTTCGGTACAACAAGGAAAAGCAAAAAAAAGTCCCAAATGCATACATTTTTTTTGCTGTTATTTATTTTTAACAGTAGTGCAAGTTTTGGTATGAAAATAAGGAACTCTAACATTTGGAATCATTAACTGTATTACACAGTTAAAAACAAACCACAAACAGTAACACACACACTCAGATGGCCATATTATTTATAATGGCTGATATCAAACAAAAAGGTTAAATAAGCTGTACAACTAAAAAGAATGTCTAAATAATAAGAAAGTGTTTCAATCACAATCAATAAAAGGCAATATAGAACTGTATAACATCTCCTGATGTCAAAATATAAAATAAATACAATGATAAATATAAAACAAAAATATAATCTGTACCTTTAGGAGCAATGTCTAACATGTGTAATTAACTTGTGAGTGTGTGAGGCCATTATGCCTAAATAAAGGTACTCAAGCTTTACTCTATTTTCAAGTTGTCCTTCAAAAAGATGAGTTTGTCTATGTTGTCAGTAGTGAGGGCAGATCTGTTGGCGGTAACTATGTCACCTGCCGGCGAGAAAACCCTCTCGCTGGGGACTGAGACTGACTCGGATGTGATTGAGCATGTTTGACGTGTTACCACTAGCATACCGCACCGCTGTCGAACAACGCCGACACACCGTCCTCGTCCGATCCACAACTCGCACCCCATCATTGTTGTAGTCCACAGGGAACCCGAAATGTTCCCACACTTCTGATTTAAAAGAAGCAGGTGGGTCTTCTAGCTCCTGTGTGTTGTGTGAAGTGAACTCGCCGTAGCTACTAACTTTTCTTCTTCATGTATTGTGTTCGTTTTGTTGTGTTTTGTTCTTGTTCTTCATTTGTTATTTACGGGCAGCTGGCTTTTAGGCGCAATACCGCCCCCTGGATTATATATAGTGTAATACTGCCCTGAGTGACAGACTTTTTCCCCACTCGTAAAAAAAGGCGTATTCGCCGTGTGACTGCATGTGCCGAACCGTGTCGTCCGAACCGCGACGGTACGGGACGAATACCCCCCTACTGCTAATGGTAGCCACCAGAGTGTATGCAGCTTCCGGTTTTGGCTACGTGTCACTCCTTATTTGGTAATGTGTGTGTATTAGACTGCCGCATAGCCAAGACCGGAAGCAGCAGCCACTCTGGTGGCTACCATTAGCAGCTAACTTTTGCTCTGCGATTTTTACATAAAAATGGAATTATGGATTATAAATGAAATAATTTTGTATACAGAGACGTTAAAAATCTATGGATTAACCGATTCAGCCGCGTTTTTTTCTCGTTTTAATGCCATTGAACACGTCTTTTGATCAGATTGACAGCTACGGTGAGACGATCTCCCCTAGAAGCTCCGTAAAGGTATGTGTTGTGATGTCTGTGTTTGCTTCCCCTGTCGCAAGTTCGGATGACTCAGTGATGATACTATATACCTAAATAATCTGTGGAACCTCAGCTTTAATCGGATATCTTGTATGTGCAGCTACGATAAGTAATAAGGGTACTTTTATCTTGAGTTTTGTGCCAAAGTCCGTTAGCATTTTTCGCTCAGGGGTCATTTAGAATGCTTCTTATGAGACTTGTGTTTTGTTTTGGTAAAAATGGTTTGTATCGTCAGTTAGCTGAGATTATTTCCGTTAATCTGGTATAACACATTAATAGGTTCTTAAATATTAAGATCCCCTGAGACACAGTGTCGTGAAAAAAAAAGTAAAGTACCCGCCGGGACCTTGGGGCTTAACAGGTTAAAAAAAACGTAATGTATACCGCAGGGGGGGGAAAAACCGCAATGTCAGTTTTTTTCAATATCGTACAGCCCTAGCGCTTTCACACTGGAGTACTTTTCCCAGGAATAGTTCCGATAGTTCCTGGGATTTTGCGTTCACACCAAAAAGATCTGGAACTAGAACTTTTTTTTGCAAACATTTTCAGTCTTTCCTGGGGAGAAAAAGGTTCCAATTTCTGATTGGCTGGGCGAATTGCAAACCACGCCCCGTAAAACTCAGAAAAGTTTTTGTGAAGCCGCCATTGTATTTTCTGGCATTAGCATTATTAGCATTAGCCCAGCGCACCAACGGAGAGAGACTAATGTATGCAGGGTTTCCCACACATAAAAGGCTTCTCAATTCTCTAATTTCCCCTCCTTGACTCCTATCCTCGACTCCTATCCTCGTATCTTAGTCCCGCCCACAGGAGATGCGAGCGGAGGAGTCGAGGAGAGAGGAGGGGAAGTAGCAGGCGGTTAAAGAAATGAGAAATCCTCTCCTGAGCGGTCATATCACGTCTCCTCTCCATTCCTCCAAACCCCGCCCCCGCCGGAAAATGATGAGTGACAGGCTGATAGTGACCCGATAGAAACTTTATTATTCACCTAATCACTGATTGAGATATGATGAAGCTAACTTAGTCTCATACATTCATGGGATTTATGTAACAGTAAGACAGAGAATAAGTGTGCACCCACATGCACTATTTTAGTTTTGATATGCTGTTGTAAATACTCCTGTTGTCTGCTGTGTTCAGACTCAAGTCATGTGTGTGATGCCACATTCAGGACATTCAGTGTCCTTTTTTAAACAGAAGACCGTTGCTAGAAGCTGCAGCTAGACTGCAGAAGCATTAGTTTTTTGTTTTTGAGGATGGAACAACTTCACACACAGATATAGGGAGGCTAGACCTATACAGTTGATTTATTATGGTCTATAATTTAATATCAAGATGGCTGAACTGTTCAGTGTCAATCCTGTGGAGATGGAGGTTATAAATCTCCAAAATAATGTTCAGCTCAAGTCTCGGCAAAACTCACAACATTTCTGGAGCCCAGAAAACTATAAGAACATTCACCAAGCAGCACTGAACACGTCTGCTTTATTTGGCTCTACAGACCTTTGTGAAGCAGCTTTTTCTGACATGAATGAGATCTAAATACAGAACAAGACTGACTGATGAACATTTAAATGACTCTTAGAGTGAACCTAAGTGGGTACACTCCAGCATACACCTCTATGGTGGACTCCATGCCGTGCCAGTCAAAAAGAGTGAATGCACTTATTTTACCCAGATGCTTGTAAGGTGGTGATTAAGGACATGTATGTGAATTCTCAGTGATGTACTTAACTATGTTGGCCATAATAATATGTGGGACATTTTCGTTTTCTTGGACCGTGATGTGAAGTTAAGATTTGGATAAGCTTTAGGTATTGTAATTTCACACGTGCACAAATTCAACTGATGAGGGAGACAGGAGAGGCTGATTCAGGAGCACGGACACACTCACAACTATAAATGAACCAAAAATAAATAAACAAGTTTCAGTGTTTTTTCATATTGGAAATGGTATGTTATTGGTTATGGCCATGATTTTATGATTATTGAAATGCATACAGTTTTGTTTCATATAGGTGTTTCCATAGATCTAGTCTCTTTATTTCCCCCTCAAAGTGCACCAGATTGATGCATTTCACTCCAAAAAAAATAAACACCCCCTAGAGGATTTGAGGTCCACCCCCACTTAAAATCACATGGATAGGTTCCTAAATACATTTACTTTTTTTTTTTTTAAAATAGTAACCCATGTCTATATGTTTATTTGTGGGTAGTAGATCTAAACTATAGGGCTATCACTATGGGCAGCAACACTGTAAATATTGACAAATAAATCTAGCAAAATGGCACACAAAAAAACTGGTAGTGGCCTGGCTGGGTGTATAATTTCCGGCCTGACTTATTGTCTCGGTCCGGCCCTGGCTGTACCTGTTCGCTCTGCCATCGCGTGAAGGGTCTGCTCACAAGCGACCAACAGAAAGGTTAATCTTAATATTGTTGTTGCACCTCACCTCACCGCCGTGGCTTCAGTAGAAGCTGCTGGGAGTCCCAGCAGCTTCTACTGAAGCCAGTCCCCAACTCCGGGGACTTCCGGCCGGGGACTTCGGGTGGCAGTATACGCCGTGAAGTTGTTTGCAGCCTGCCAGTAAACCCAAAGAAGAAGAAGTGACGTCAGCGGCTTCATTTGCCTAATCCTCCCTCAGGGACTTATTCCGGTGTGAACGCGATCTGTACTTTAGTTCCCGGAACTAAGTATGGCAGAGTACTTGGTGTGAAAGCGCCTATTGAAATTTTTTGCCAGTGAAATAATAATAATAATAATAATAATGCTTCTTGACCTCTTATATGATCATTAATCAAACTGGTATTAAAGCGTCATAATGTTGCCTCAATGCATAATTCTTAGATTCTCCCCATTATATCCTCCAACCAGACTCTTACGTCCGGCCTTGCATCGTCACGCCAGACTTCCTTCACGCTGCCATGCGTCCAGACATGATTACAGAGACAGAGGTGGAGATATCCACGGAGGAGTGCTGCGAGGACGAAGACGAGGAGATGGTCACCCTGCTGGAAGAACCAGAGCCAGGACACGAGCCTGTCAGGAAGAGGAGGGGTAAGACATGTAGAGCTTGTGGTTGAAAAATACTACAAATGTTTGTAAAACAACTTGCCGCTCTGTCACAAGCTAGGCTGCAAACCTCAACCCAAAACATTGAGTTACCCTGTTTGATTATAGTTATTAAGTAGTAGACCTTTGGGTGTATATTCACTAAACAGGGACACCATTTAAGCAAATGATTAAGCCCTATTTCAAATGTTTTCTTGTAACAGCTGGGCGGAAGCCAAAGACACATCAGTCAGCTATATCCAATGGCTCCCTGGACCTCGGCATCAAGAAGAAACCAAGAGAAGGGAAAGGTAACTTACATTTCATTTCTTTACAAGTACAATCATGAGACATTATGGAGATGTGTGAAATGGGACACCCAGATGATCTATGCAAAGCTTTAGAATAAGGGTTCAGAGACTAAACAGAACAATATATCTTACTAGTATTGGAGAGGGTTCATAAACATTACAAGCTTAAAAAAACAACTTTAATTGGTTTGAAATGGATAAGATATAATAAACACAATATATGAAAATGGGAAAATAATGGTATAAATGAAAGAGACCCTCTTATGCTTGTTGGGGGTTTTCCCTTTCCTGTAGTGTGTTCTTGTATAGGTTTCTGTGCCTGTAAATGGTCTCCAAAGAGTACAATCCCAAAGTTCCCTGCATAAAACACACATTTAAACCTGAAAATGAGAATAATATGTCCTCTTTAAATGCAGTTCAGAGTAGAGTAACTTTTCGTATTTTCAAGCTTCAACATATCAACAAATGCTGTTTTAAGCACTGTTTAAGTCAGACACCAGAATGATTTTGCCAGTAGCATTTGTAGAGCACAGATACATTTTGGTTTTCAGTGCATTGAATTAGCTTGCTTTCCAGCAGGAAGCACCACCTACCTCTGGGAGTTCCTGCTGGACCTCCTCCAGGACAAGAACACCTGCCCCCGCTACATCAAGTGGACCCAGAGGGAGAAGGGCATCTTCAAACTGGTGGACTCCAAGGCCGTCTCCAAGCTGTGGGGCAAACACAAGAACAAGCCGGACATGAACTACGAGACCATGGGGCGGGCACTCAGGTGAGCGTGTGTATAAATACTAAAGCTGTAACGTGCTTAAACGATTGGACTTACATTTGCAAATTACTTTAGATACATTTAATTGAAAAAAGCCCAATGAGCTGATTGGCAGACTGCACAATTCAAAGACCAATGTTCAGTTTTATAACGCAGTTTTATGCCACTGCTATAGTATAGTACTAATACAAATAAATAATATTATATTGGTATAATAATGCAAGTACACCTTTTCAAGAGCAATGCACTTTTAAGTTAAAGGTGGGGTAGGTAAGTTTGAGAAACAGACTCGAGATACACTTTTTGTTATATTCCATGGAATGCTCTTAACATCCCGATAGCAATGAATATCTGAAGTGCTTTGACAAAAAATCCATAAAAAAATGTCATCTGTGGAAGCCGGGGCCGGGGCCTACCTGCCTGTCAGCCTTCCATCTGTGAACAAACTTATCTCGTGCCCTCATTGGTCATGTGCGCGTTCCTGTGTGTTGGAGGAGGGGCTCTGTGAGGAAGTGGCAGATTTTCTACGGTTGTGTATTTTCAAATTCTAGCGCACTCGAGCTGGTTTCTCCAAAATGACCTACCCCACCTTTTAAAGGAATGGTGAGACATTTTAATGGGAATGTTTACAAAAAAAACACATTAATAAAAATACATAAAATAAACATAGGATAAGATGCCTGGTAACATACAGGTTAAACTTTTTTGAAACTTTGTGCTGTTTTCCTTTTTAATGTGTTACTCCGCTGTAGAAAGCTATCATGAAACTAAATCTGATTGTTTATAGCAAATGGACTAGATGTGATGACGGAGCAGCTTTCAGATGAATCAATGAAATGAGCTTAAATGCATCTTTGTTTTGGATTGATTAATACATGTTGTATTAATACATGTTGTATTAATCAATCATATCTGTCCACTCCCATGTTTATAATAGTTTTTTTTTTTTTCATGAATTGCGATAAACCACCCTAATTGACTGCAGATTTTTTAAATCTTATATCTTAATGTGATTAATTGTTTTAATGAATTGACGTCCCTAAGAAATATGTAGTTTTACCAGAGCTGTAAGGTGCTGGAATAGACTTGTAACTCCTGATTTCCCCCCCCCCTCAGATATTACTACCAGCGCGGCATCCTGGCCAAGGTGGAGGGCCAGCGGCTGGTGTACCAGTTCAAAGACATGCCCAAAAACATTGTGATCATCGACGACGACAAGGCAGACCTGCCTTCCTCCGAGGACCTGATGGACTCTGAGACCGTCTCCTACGAGCGCGTGCCACCCCCCTCAGACATGCTGCTGCACGCCTCCGAGCTGACGTCCTCCAAGAAGCCCAACATCCTGCGGGGCGCCAACAGGGCCAACGTGGTCCACGCCACTGTCACCACGGGCAACAAGGCCATGACGGGAGGTGCTACAGCCATGGTAACGGGCTTACAGAGGATAGTGTCCATGTCAGGAGCGTCGGACAGGAGTCAGACGCAGCACTCTCACACGGCCATCATCCCCACGGCAACCGGGCCCAGGTGAGACTTCTGCGGAGATATGCTAACGTGCTAATGCTACATCTTCTCCCAGGATTCACTTCTGACTGTGTGCCCCCTTTCCTTTGGTTCACAGGACTGTGCGAGTGGCGATGCAGATGCCTGTAGTCATGACGACATCGATGGGTCAGAAGATCTCCACGGTTGCCGTGCAGCAGCAGACAGGAATGACGGGGCCAGCCGGACACACCACCCTCCTCACCAACTCCTCCGCCCTCGCTGTCGGGAACACCAACTCACAGCAGAAGGTGTGTGGAGAGCATTATATATGTTAATACATTTTGGAAAGAAAATGTAAAGTATTTTTTTATCTATTTGAAATATTCCAACCATCCATCCTTTTTCTGTCGCCCATGTTAAATTACTTTGATTATATTTGAAATAATAATAATAATAAATACATTTAGCCCATATCAACAGTACTATATCATTGGAGAGATATATATACACTGAACAAAAATATAAACGCAACACTTTTGTTTTTGCTCCCATTTTTCATGAGATGAACTCAAAGATCTAAAACATTTTCTATTTACACAAAATAACCATTTCTCTCAAATATTGTTCACAAATCTGAAAAGATCTGTGATAGTGAGCACTTCTCCTTTGCCGAGATAATCCATCCCACCTCACAGGTGTGTAAAAGGCCACTCTGAAATGTTCAGTTTTGCTTTATTGGGGGGGGTCTGGGGGGGGTCCGAAAACCAGTCAGTATCTGGTGTGAGGGTTAGGGTTGGGGTAATGTTGTGAATCGAGTGGCCCATGGTGGTGGTGGGGTTATGGTATGGGCAGGCGTATGTTATGGACGACGAACACAGGCCACTCCATTCACACCCTACCCCTACCCCTCACACCAGATACTGACTGGTTTTCGGACCCCCCCAGACCCCCCCAATAAAGCAAAAATGCACGTTTCAGAGTGGCCTTTTATTGTGGCCAGCCTAAGGCACACCTGTGCAATAATCATGCTGTCTAATCAGCATCTTGATATGCCACACCTGTGAGGTGGGATGGATTATCTCGGCAAAGGAGAAGCGCTCACTATCACAGATTTTTTCAGATTTGTGAACAATATTTGAGAGAAATGGTTATTTTGTGTATATAGAAAATGTTTTAGATCTTTGAGTTCATCTCATGAAAAATGGGAGCAAAAACAAAAGTGTTGCGTTTATATTTTTTTTCAGTGTATATATATATATATATATATTAGGATTTTGAAACTGGCATTGTACTGCATTTTATGTGCTAACATTGTTGGTTTTTAGTATTTTTTCTGTTTAAGACAAGTTAACTAGAAGTGCAAGGAATAGTTGATGGAAAAGTAATCTGCACATTTCTTTTAAATAATTGGTTAATGGTTAGAGTAATTCCTCGTGCAACAATTCTAGAAAATGCTACTTTCAGCCTCTGAATATTTATGATGATGTAATGAAAATGTCCTGCCTATCCCTGTTGAAACCAGATATCACCTTGTACTTTGAGCAACTTTTTGATAGACTCAAGGATTCATCTAGAAGATAAAACATCATGCTGTTTTCTGTTTGTGTAGGTTGTGATCCAGACCATCCCCACCATGGTCCCGGCCACAGCAGAGAACGGGGACAAGATCACCGTCCAACTGGCCAAGATCATCACCATCCCCGCCCACCAGCTAGCTCAGTGCCACCTCCAGACCTCCAGCGGCTCCCACAAGCCCGGCATGGGGGGCCCCCCGGGGGGCCTCAGCCTCCTCGGGAGCCCCCTCACGGTGCGGGCCCTCGGGCCGGTCAGCATGGGCCCGGGGACGCAGGTGATGAGGCTCACCGTGCCGACGCAGGGGCAGCAACAGACTCTGATGGTGTCGCAGGCGGGCAGCGTGGGGGGGGGTGGTGACATTATCGACGTCCAATCACACGATGACGACGCAGCCTCGGATCATAAGCGGCATCTTTAACGGGTCAGAGCTGGTGATCGGAGCGCCGGGGAGCGGGGGCGTCACCATGGAGAAGCTGAAGGCTGCTGGAGTCCACATCCAAGCGCTCGCTGTCCAGCAGAACCACGCCAAGTCGGACGGCGTGGAGATGGTCGTCCAACTGGACACCCCCGACGTGACGATAAAGACTGAAGAGATCGAGTGCTGAAACATTTCAGAGTTACTTTGACGTTGTTTTTACTCTTGTAATAACCAGCAGCCGTCTGAGAGACTTTAAAGACTCCTAAAGGCCAGTTTTTGTTTTTTTTAGAAACGCGTCTTCACCCCCCTCCCCCCAAACTTTACCGATTGCAACCCCCATGACACCTCTCCAAGTGTCTCTGCATCATAGGAACGCACACAGACGTTAAAAGGGACTTGTTGGATAAAAGGTAAACGGGACCAACCTCGATCACTACAACGTATGCCTTTCCAAACGGATCGCCGTCACTGACTGCAATTGGGAACCTTGAAAATAAGTAGAAACACTACATATGGAGGCAAATAATTACCGCTAACCAAAATGTGAACTTTAAAATCACAGTAAAACGCAGTGAGGGGTGTAATAAAACCTTTGTGGAGACCATGTGTTTATACTTCTGCCTCTACTGATGTTGAACAACCAGCAAACTTCCTTTTTCGTTTTGTTAAATGCTTCTATCACTGCAGAAGTGTGGGTGGTGCTACTATTGCTAACAGCGAGACAGAAGGCAGAGCTGCGATGAGCTCTAAGAAGGAACAATATCAGACAAAGTGGTCATGTATGTACATATTTAAATATATATCTACTATATTCAGTTTACGGAGCTAAAGTTAACAGAACCGCCGCCTTAGATTTAAATGTTTTCTTTTTCATTTAACGTCTGAACAATAAGCTGTTTTTTGTGTGTTTTGATACCTTGTACCAAGCACAGTATTATTCAAACTAAGAAGAACTAGTATTTGTATTAATATTAGTTCTGTCACTATCAGGCTGTTACACGCATAACATATTGGTTGAAACGACATGTTGTCCTCCAGCGTCTAGGGAAATCTCTAGACTTGAATTTCACATTTATTCGACAAAAGCATCTCGGATATTTCTAAAAACATGTTGACAAATGTTTCATCTTTTTACAAACCTTACTATCTGGCTGCACGGAAATGCGACTCAGTGCTGATGCATGATGCCATGCCTTTTAAAAAGATCACCCAAAAAGTATCAAAATAATGATTAAAGACAGACATTGGAAATCAAAATGATATGTAAAATCTGTATATAGGAAACCACTGTGGATCCCAGGTCACTTAAAACAGGGTCAATTTGCCAGCACACTTTTTTTACTGCCCTTTTTGGCCCCGCCCCTAAATTTCATTTTTATTTGTGTGTACAGAGAGAAAGCTGTTTGTTCAGACTGAACTGTTTGTATATTCAACATTTGAAGTATATTCTATTTTGTTGTACTCTTGTTTCAAAGTGTATTAAAGTAGATTTTACTGAAATATAAAAAGACATTTGAAACCTAACTCCAGTTGTTTCCATTGTGGTGTTATTCATTTATTACATGTCACTTGTTAGACGCTTTTATCCAAAGCGACTTACATAGTACTGTGGACAATCCCCACAGGAGCAATTTGGGGTGCAGTGTCTCAGGGACACAAGGACATGCTGACTGCAGTGGGGTTTGAACCTGTGATTTATTATTTTTTTCATTATGTGTGTGTGTGTGCTTTTGATCTACACAGGGTAAAGTCATCCATCCCTGTAAATATCAACAATAGTTTAAAGAGGCCCTATTATCCTATTGGGGGTTTCCCTTTCCTGTAGTGTGTGATATGTTTGTGTGCATGTAAATGGTTTGCAAAGGCTAACATTCCCAAGTTCCCTCCAGAGGGACTTTCTCTCCAGAACAAACTTGGTATTGGAAATGGATTGAAAAGGCCTTTAAATTTGCGGGATTAAAAGTATGAATCTGCGTTATTTTAAGTTGAGCACACAGTTGTGGTCAAAAGTTGAAATGCAAATGTTAGAAAAAAACAACTCTTTTTAAATCAGTTTACAAATAATTCCTTAACTCTTGTTGCTGTAACTTTGACACAAACATTTATGAATTGTTTTTCTTCTAGGAATATGATATGGCTGTTCTTAACATGTCCATCATATACATTACTCAATGTTAATATTTTGATTGCATTTCCACCATACACATGGTTCTGGTTAAATACAAATCCTCTTGACAGAATTAGTGCAGTTCAACTGAATTTGTCCGCTTCATGACTGACATACTCGTCAGCATAGTTCAAAAGTTAAAGTCAGGACTTTTGGAAGGCCATTTAATTCTAAAACCTTTTTACTTTTAAAGGCTATTCTGTGAATGTGCAGGTTCATGTTTGTATTATGTGCTTCTACTGTGACATGTTATCATGCTTTAATGTTCAAAAAGCACTTTATTTTCCCTCATACTGCCTGTGTTGCCCAGTCTGCTCTGATTGGTTAGCTTGCCGGCTCTAATGTTATTGGTCAACTGCTAGAGATGTCCCACCCCTTAGCCTATCACGTGCTAGTGTTACATTGTGGTGTCGTATTGTTATGGAAGTAAACAAAGGATCATAATGGCGTTTCAGGCAGGGGGGGGGGGGGGGGGAGTGTGTGGGAGAGAAACTCCCTCTGGGGGGAACTTTGGGATTTCAGCCTTTGCAGACCATTTACATGGTAAACCTATATTACACAATTCAGGAAAGGGAAACCCAAAAAGCACAATTGGGCCTCTTTAAAATATATGTAATAGTACAGTAAGTATGTGATCCAATCATTCCATTTAAAAAAGTAACATATTCTTAACTTAACTTTATGTAAACCTTATACCACACCTGTACAGTATAATATCTAAACTGATAAAAGTAAAAGAACAGTGTGGAAGTGACATTTCTGAAAATGTGTTATACTGTGTCGTCTACAATATGTAGTTTTAAAAAAATATTTATCGACATGTCGTTTTTTCTGATATTTTCTGAACACAATGTTTTTTTTTTAGAAAATGTTGACATACTACATTTTAACATATCTTTGACATTTTATTTTGCATAATTTCGACATACTATTTTGTCGTTGTTTCTGATATTTTCGACATACTGTCGTTTTTTGGCATATTTTGACATACTATACGAGTTGAAAATGATTAGAAACTCAAAACGTGGAGAACTAAAACCTGAACAATCTGCTTTAAGAATCACTGAATGATTGGGCTGAACATCCCTTTCATTACCAACCTACCACGTGAGAGGCAGATTGGGGAGTAATCAACATAACACTATTCTGCAAAGAAACATCATCCTCACTCTGTAGTACAATGGCAAGTGTGAAACACAACATTTACTAGTTTTTAGTGTTGTGTTAGGAATGACACAATATGAGATTTTCACTATACAATTATCGTGGGCAAAATATCTTATATCTTATAAAAATAAAACAAGCAAATTCCTCTTTACATTTTATTGTATTTTCTCTTTTTTGGTAATGAAGTTACAGTCCTTTGTGTGTGACAGTTTCAATATCCGGCTCTTTAAATCCACATGTGGAAGTGTCCTTGGGCCCCAAATCCCCCCAAGATATAGCCATCGGTGTGTGGCTCGATCTGCCATTAGCGTGTGAATGGGTAGTGTTAAAGCGCATTGAGTGGTAGGAGGACTATAAAGGCACAATATAAATGCAAGAACAATCACCATCCAATACTATTTCAATATCACCGGTATCGTCAATACTGGTACATTTTTTTATTTGTGTTTCAGTACTGATGAAGGTCCAGGTCAGTAACCTGGTGCAGATATCGCATAGTGTTACACTTTGGGGAGGTAGATTTGCATCTGCATTTTTTTGCAGTGTATATCTCCGCAACTTCTGCGTGTAAAGTGATCAGACTTTTCAATTCCAGTTGCAATTCCCAACCTCCCCTCTAGTTCTCCGTGTCCGTCTCCATCATCGCTCCCACGTGGCGTCACATCCTGAAGCTTTCTTGTGGAGAGAAGCCAACCAGGAGCCACAGTTTCTCTTCATCTTCTGCTTCACCTCACTCCTCCTCCTTCAAGCTGAAGTCACAAACCAGAGAGAGATGGTCGGACGGATAGCTAAAGGACGGAAGCCTGTTGGGCCCAATCTGTTCCTCTGTTGGCATGTCCAAAACTGCGTCCACCCTCAGTGTGTCCCGACTGTACCAGATGTAGTCCAGGGTTGCGCAGCACTCACCCGTAGGACGGATCTTCCACGTTGTGTACTCCGGCTCAGTGGAACCGTCCTTACTGAGCCTCTTGTAGGCGGAGTCCAAACCAAGAGGCGATGCGGCGAAACGTCGGTACACCTCCTCAGTCGGGATGGCGTTGAAATCTCCACATATGAGCAGAGGAATGTCCAGAGTCTGGGCGCCTGCAGAGTCGTGGGCGTGTTTCTGGACCAGAGTCTGGAGGTGTCTCAGCAGGTCGGAGCCCTGCGCGCTGCGGAGCCACTCCCAGCCGGAGCGAGCCTTCAGGTGGGTCACTGCCACGCACACACATCTCCCCGAGCTACGGCAGCGCAGCATCGTCACCACGGCGACCTGTGGTAAGAGAGGGCAGAGTTATTTTATTTCTAAGATAAACATAACATCTAATAAATACAACCATATCATAAATAAATAAGCCAGCCAACCCAAACCAAAACAACAAGAAACTGCAGCATAAATAAAATAAAGTTTCCCTTTCCTGTAGTGTGTTAGAAAGGTTTCTGTGCGCTGGTGAGCATGAGAAACTTTCTCGTGGTACACAGGTACATCAACAGGTACATCTGTGGTGTAGTGGACTGTCACTCAAAAAGTGAGTAGCCAATGGGGACGCACCCCTGAAAGTCCCGCCCACCTGGGATGTTTGTGTCAAAATCTAAAATAAAAAATGAGGGAGCGCAAACGAGAAGAGCTGCAGCGAGAGCAAAAGTCTGATCATTGAGAAAGAAGAAACAAGAACTGCAAACAGAAACCTATGTTAAAACAAAGAACAAAGACTTATAGTTCACATGATTACACAAATGATTTGTTTGCAACTTATAGTTTTATTTTTGAAATTTATTTTATTTTGCTGACTCAGTTTTTTTTCTTTTAAACTTAGTTTTTCTTTTTTCTGAGAAAGTGTTGCTTTATCTTTATGATACAAAACTAATCCCATAGTTTCTCTCCCACACACTCCCCTCCCCTCCCCCCTGCCTGAAACGCCTCATTTGTAGTCCTTTTTTATTTCTGTAACATAGTGACATCACTATGTAACACTCACTCTCTTATTTGCTAGTGCTCCAACCATTGTAGGTGATAGGCTAAAGGGGCGGGACATCTCTGACCGAGTCACCAATCACAACAGAGCCGGCCAGCTAACCAATCAGAGCAGACTGGGCTCTGGTTTCAGACAGAGGGTGAAAAGAGGTGCTGCAGCACAGGCAGAATGAGAGAAATTGCACATACAGTTTAAACTAAAATACTTTTTATGAATTAGTTTTTGTTATTTTCATGAAATACTATAATATGACTTTTAAAGGCATACTTTAATATGAGTTTTGTATTTCCTATGATGGCATACTAACTCTTTTAGGACATTTTAATGACATTAATAATGAGCAATACACTATGAGATTTTGATGTTTACATGTTACATGTTTATATGTTAACTTCACAATGCATTAAATTACATTTAAAGATTAAAGATTACGTTTATAGATTAGTAAAGTAAATAAATTGCAGAAGATGAAACAAAACTCTTCTATGACATTTATTGAAACATAGTATTCAATTCTTTTTGATGAATTTCAATTATATTACTTTTTGTAAGTTCATTATATAAACCTTTTAGTGCCTACTTTACTATGCCTTTTAGGACATTTGTTTGACATGCACTTTTCTTTATTCCATACTAAACCATAAAGACAAAAAGATGCTGCATTATATACAAATAAAATGTAAGGAATAAATATACATACAGAAATCTCAAAGGACTATGACTGGAAGTAAAACCAGCCAACCACGCACTGACGAGAAGCTTTTTAAATGTCCTTTTTTTAATAAATAATTGTATTTGTATTGAGTGTGCGAGGGTTTGAATATTCTATATTAAACAAAGGAATCTCTCCCCCCCAAAAACTACATAAAAAAACATTTAAAGAATAAAATATATTTAAATTAAAGAAAAACATTGAAAGAGATAAAAAGCAATAATATTGCATCCCCACTTGCAAAACAAACAAACTAACAACACAAAGAGCTGGGTACAAATTGTGTATTTTCGCTTTTTATGTTTCCAAGTGTGGCTTTAAATTCCACCCACCTGATTGGTTGGAATCCTCATGGTGGAGAGCTGGAGGTTGACGCTGTCCAGAAACTCAAAACGCGACTCGTCGTAGAACAGCGCGCAGCCGTCGGGGCCGTTGTTGCCCTCCACATCCAGGCAGGGGGACCAGGGCTTGGGGCAGAAGTTGCTGCTGTAGCCCAGGCCTGCGAGGACCGGCTGGAGGGTGTCGTAGTAGTGGTCCACTTCCTGCAGACACAGGATGTGAGGGCGGTAGGTGAGGATCTCCTCTAAGATGAGGTACTTCCTGCGGGACCAGCTGAGGGCCTCCGGGGGACACTGGACAAAGCTGTCAAGCCCCTCGCCAAGAGCTGCCAGACGGGGGGAGGGAAGAGTATTAGGGTGGAGATAACGTGGAGGAGCTGAACAACAGTTAGCCAGAAAGGGGCCAAATGCCAAAACCGATCCCTACACACAGGAGAATACACCGCCTGTAGTCACACTCTGCTGAATGAGGCATCGAGAAAAACTCCCCTCTCTGTGTGTGTGTGTGTGTGTGTGTGTGTGTGTGTGTGTGTGTGTGTGTGTGTGTGTGTGTGTGTGTGTGTGTGTGTGTGTGTGTGTGTGTCAGGCAGGAAAAGTTACTGACTTTTCTTAAAGTCGTTGCAAATGAGCATCTCTTGGACAAACATTTGATATAATAATTATAATAAAGTGCTACAAATAGTGGCCATTCACAACAGAGCCGACCAGCTAACCAATCAGAGCAGACTGGGCTCTGGTTTCAGACAGAGAGCATGAGAGCAATAAAGAGTTTTTTGAACATGAAAGCATGGAGACATGTCACAGTAGAGGAACAGAATACAGATATGAACCTGCAAATGAGCACAATGTGTCGTCTTAAAAGGATTTCTACCATAAAAGGATGTTTTGTTATGTCTGTAGAATATGATTGGTAGGTCTCAGTATTGTCCTCCTGCTATTTGAATATTACACAAGTCCATATAGCGATTTTGATAAGAATAACATGAATTGTGCAGCTCCAACCCCAGTTCAGAATTGGTCCAGAGTTTTGAATCCTGCAACAAGTTTTTTTATCCATGGATTACTTTTTGAATATTCATTTTGATATTTGCGGAGAGCACTAAACGTTCAATTACTGATGGCTAAACTGTCCCCAGTAAAGAAAAAAAAGAAAACAAGAAAAGGAAAGAGGTTAAAATATAGAGCGCTGGACGTCAGGGAAATCAGCAGAAGAAGACAAACAGGAAGTAAACAGGGAAATGGTCTGGGCTCTAGCAGTGTTTAAGGACTGGTTAATGGTAAGAAAATGTAACAGACTTGGACAATTACAGAAAACCTCGAACAGTGCTGCCTTCAGTTTAAGTTGTTGTCGCAGTAGTTCTAGCTGTTGGTACGCAGTGCAACGGATCATTTTAAACAACTTTAATTTAAATCAATATTTTGAATCAAGTTGTTGTTTTATTTCGTATGTCATCGGTAATAAGCAGGAAAAAAGAACACCTTTGCCCTCTGGTGTTCCCTTTTCATTAATGAGCGCCTCCATGCCCATTATCCCTTATATAACTGTAACAATGTCAGTAAACACAAATCAATTCCATGACCGTGGGAACTGTATGAAGCTGGATTTTGTTTGTAGATAAATGTGAGCCTAAACTCCAGTGTGTGTATTATTCAGGCTGAAGCAGTGTACCTTGGGCCAGTATGTTCCACTGCATCACCCTGATGGAGCTGCTGGGGGCGCCGCCTCCATCCTGCAGCTGAGTGAACTTCCTGTGGAAGCGAGGCGCTCGGCCCCTGAGGGCCTCCTCACACTGTCTGAGCAGCTCTGCGGGACACACAGGGGCCCCCTTCTGCAACACACACACACACACACACACACACACACACACACACACACACACACACACACACACACACACACACACACACACACACACACACACACACACACACACACACACACACACACACACACACACACACACACACACACACACACACACACACACACACACACACACACACACACACACACACACACACACACACACACACACACACACACACACACACACACACACACACACACACACACACACACACACACACACACACACACACACACACACACACACACACTTCTTTTTTTACCAGCTTTTTATAAATGTTTCCAGCCATCCATATAAGATGAAACAAACATACAGAACATTTAAATATACAAAGAACCTTACAAGCTAATACACTAAAACACTCAGGACAATTATAATATGAAAATATACTACACACTACAGTGTATTGTACTTTAAAGTGGAGGGCGGGCTGTGCACAAATGTATTTAGAGAGCTGAGCATTGCTCACAGAATAAGATAACAAGTACATGTTCTTCGCATGATGTACATTTTCACATTTCATTCAATTATTATTTCCCTAATCGTCTTTCCACAGAACAAGGCAAACGTATGTCTACATAATATTTGACATGAAGTATAGAACCAGCTCTTTTAATACGCAGTAATGTCTCTCCTCTAGAATTGTTTACAGATGCGATTGACAGTTTAAACTAATACACTGTGAAAGGAAGATAATAATGCATTGACTATGGAAGAGAATCAGGGCAACATGTGACTCTTTTCTTGAGATCTGATGATTTTTCTTTGTTCTGAGATTAAAGTCACAATTCTCAGGATTCTGACCTCTTGACAATCTTCTCCTTATCTCCAGTTATTATGTTCCAAATATCTGGAACAAACTCCCAGAATCCTGCTTTAGAATCCAGGCTGAAGGCTTTGCTTTTTGCTTTTAAATTAGACTGCACTGTAACTTTTACTCATGTATTGTATACCTATGTTATTCTATTTTATGTTTATTCTATTCTCTTTATTCTTAATGCTCTTAATGTGTTTCATTTTTTGTAAACTTTTTGAATTGCCTTGGGTTGAAAGGTGCTATTTAAATAAACTTGCCTTATCTGACTTTTCCCTCCGTATACGACCTCCTTCTCCGTAACTGACTTGTTTCTCTGTGTCTGACTTTTTTCTCTGTAACCGACTTTTTTCTCTGTATCCGACTTTTTTCTCTGTATCCGACTTTTTTCTCTGTATCCGACTTTTTTCTCTTTATCCGACTTTTTTCTCTGTATCCGACTTTTTTCTCTTTATCCGACTTTTTTCTCTGTATCCGACTTTTTTCTCTTTATCCGACTTTTTTCTCTGTATCCGACTTTTTTCTCTGTATCCGACTTTTTTCTCTTTATCCGACTTTTTTCTCTGTATCCGACTTTTTTTTTCTTTATCCGACTTTTTCTCTGTATCCGACTTTTTTCTCTGTATCCGACTTTTTTTCTCTTTATCCGACTTTTTTCTCTTTATCCGACTTTTTTCTCTGTATCCGACTTTTTTCTCTTTATCCGACTTTTTTCTCTGTATCCGACTTTTTTCTCTGTATCCGACTTTTTTCTCTGTATCCGACTTTTTTCTCTTTATCCGACTTTTTTCTCTTTATCCGACTTTTTTCTCTTTATCCGACTTTTTTCTCTGTATCCGACTTTTTTCTCTGTATCCGACTTTTTTCTCTGTATCCGACTTTTTTCTCTTTATCCGACTTTTTTCTCTTTATCCGACTTTTTTCTCTGTATCCGACTTTTTTCTCTTTATCCGACTTTTTTCTCTGTATCCGGCTTTTTTCTCTGTATCCGACTTTTTTCTCTTTATCCGACTTTTTTCTCTGTATCCGACTTTTTTCTCTGTATCCGACTTTTTTCTCTGTATCTGAAATTGTTACCAGGAGTTTGACTTTTTTTCTCTGTATCTGACTTTAATCTCAGAACAAAACAAAAAGATGAACTCATGGTCAGATCTCAAAGAAATATTTCACATGTGGCCCTTATCCTCTTCCTTTATGTATGGGGGCTTTCATTGTGTAAAAACTAAAAAGACATTATTTTGCCAGCAAAAAGTTAAATGTCAAGAATCATCATTTAGCAGTACAATGTTTTGGAGACACAGTATCTGTACTTTTTGTTTACATTTGTACAGTGAGCAGAGGAGGAGGAGCCACTGACCTGACAGAATGCTGGATCCAGGTTTGTGACTGCAGGCGGGGGGAGAGGAGAGCTGCTGAGGGGCGCAGTCAGGGCGCTGTACAGCCTGGTGGCCCCCCCACCCATCGGACACACTGAGAGGAAGTATAAGATGGTGAGGTGTGTGAGGATGGAGACAAACATTCAGCATTTTGTAACTGTAATGACACATTGGTCAATCAAGTAGTTTTGTGTTCATGCGCTCAAGCCGAAATAACTTCCTTGTTACTCAAAGTAACATTTAAAATAACATTATTCATTTACACAGGATCTCCCGTACAGACAGCCATAACATAACACTAGAACTCAAGGTTAGAGAAACGCCCTCTGGTGCCAACTTTGGGATTTTAGCCTTTGCAGACCATTTACATGCACAAAAACCTTTATAACACATTACAAGGAATATGAATACTATGTTGTATAATGTTGATAACAATGCTTTTCAACACTGATCCCATACAGTTTGTAAACCAGGCAGCATATGAGAACTTTAAGGAGGCAACTTTCAATTTGAAATTGTAGGTTTACAGATTGGAAGTTTGCCGAGGTCACACCCTGATAGTATCCATGCCGCACACACACGCACACACACACGCACACACACACCATATGTTTGTGTAGTTGATGCTTCCATGACTATTAAACACAGCAGCTGTTTGTTTGTAAGGACTTTGAACGAAAGTAGGTCAAAGCAAAGTGGGTCAAATTGGCTGGTCGTTTGCCAAAAGGCATCAAACATGTTCCACTTCAAAATGTAGCAGACAAATAAACAACAATAAAAAGACCTCAGCTGAACTTAGACTCAATGTTATGAACAGAATTGCGACTCTTATATTGATGATAAAGTAAGGGCCAAATATTATTACTGTATTACATTTGAGCCATAATCTGCTTTTCATAATACACCACTGTATATATTGTAATATACACCAAGCATAATGTACTACTTCATACTTCTTATGTTCAAATACATATTTATATATAGAGAGCACTGGGAAAGGCGCTATGTAAATATTATTTATTATTATTGTTTTTTAAAATATTTGTATTGCCCAATTTTACTTCTAATGTTCATTTTAATATTTCTATTCTATTGTAGATTTTAATTATTTTAAATTAAAATGGAGCAACTGTCAACTGTGGGAAAGTACTCTAAATCTGATTTGTAAAAGCAGACGTATGAGAGAGCCATAAGGAAACGTTTCTATAATGGCAAGCCACAAATATGGCTTTCTAAACTGAGAAAACCAAACTGCCAACTCCTCTACACCACAACTATTGGACTACAGAAGGTCACATCCTGTTTAACCACTGATGTTCAGGATCAATCCAGTTGTGTGTGATTGAGCCAAACAACCTCTGTGAAAAGAACCAGCTTCCAATTCTTCCCAAATGTAGGTCATAAATCTTTCTGTTAATCATTATATGGGTCTATATTTATCCATATACACCAGCCAGACCCAGGTATTAAATAAAGTAACAGCACCACCATAAGTCAGAAACACAGTACAGCTGATATGATGCATCCAAATAATCAGTAAAAGAAAAAATAGCTGCCTCTTACCAATAGTGTCCATCATGTCCACGGCTATGTCCACTCTGAACAGAGTTTGTTTTGAATGCCTCCTTTTAAACACCGGTAATACCCTTTTTACAGACAAGGTTTGTTTACTGGTTTAGGTTTCCTGTCTGAGCTGAAAAGGTTTTCTCTGAAACTGGAAACAGATGTGTATTTGTTTAAAAGAATGCCCTTTCACGGTTAACTGCTGCCTATAAAGCCTCGGGGAGGACAGGGGAGAGAAAGAGAGAGACTAGGAAGTACGTCACCACGCCATATGGAGCAATTCACGTCATGTGCTAGTGAGGGAGAGAGGGATTCACTGCACAATCCAAACGGCAGCTCTCTCACAGTCTCACAAACACACAAGCTTGAGTGTGTGCAGAGTTGTTACGGATACACACATATTAGATCGTCTCACCTTTGCCCAAACAACAAGCAAAAGCATAAAGTAACATGGAGTCGCGCCCTCACAAACACACAAATTGCAACAATGATTGCATGACTAAACCAATCATGAGTGTGTGTGTGTGTGATTGTGTGTGTGGTTTGTAACAATGACTTCCTTGGATTGTGTGTTGTCACGACACTGAGGTCACTTTGATCGCAGTTTACAGTAACTTGTGTTACATCAGAGTGTAATGTTCTTTTCCATGTGCAGTAGTGCATTTGACTTATTAGTTATACTATTTTGGTTCTCGGATCAAAATGTATTGAGCTATTTCAAAACTGTGGTTCAAGGCTCCCCTTAACGGGTTACTGATTAAAACAGGGTTTTAAGTGTTTTTAATTAAAACATTTAATTTGAAATCAATAGGAGAAACTCCGTCTAGAGGGAACTTTGGGATTTTAGCCTTTGAAGACCATTTACAAAAACACAGGAAAGGGAATACTCCAAAGAACACAACAGGGCCTCTTTCATTGTCTTTTTGTTAAATTGGGTAATCAACACAACAAACAAACTACGTAAAGCCTCCAGCTGTTCCTCTTGTTTAATATTACACATTGCTCTTGTGTGTCCTTGCTGATTAAAACAATGTTTGCCAAGCAGAAACAAAGCCCCTATATTCCTCTCTATCCGGATCTCTTAAACCAACAGAATGGAGTCAGGGAGCGTTCCACCGTGTTGCTCGGACGTCAGTGTGTCAGCTCACAGACCAGCGCACATTACAGAGATCTAAAAGCTCTGCTGACCTGTGATGGTGACTCACGTCTGAACACGCAGGTCTGCATAGTCTCCAAACATTAACAACGAGTCACAACCCGCCCGCGTTAGACGGACACACAGGATTGTTACAGAATAGACTTTTTTTTTTTTAAACCAGCAGAAGATAAAACACCTTTCAAAAGCGCCTGATTTACAAACAGGGTGAATGTGCATTCATTGATATAGTGTGTGTGCTACTGTGAGGGCAGCGTGACTCATATCCTGCGTAGACAATCCATTGTGGCTCCAGGCAGAATAATTAACTGTAGTGGTGTGTGAGTGTGTATACGTGAGTGTGTGTGTGTGTTACGATATCCTTTAGTGGCATATTGACATTTCCACATTAAAGGGCAGCTGCCACATGATATTCAAATGTGTGTTTTTGTGCGCATGTGAGTGTGTGTGATGTTCTCCCCATAGGTGAAACTATTTACAAGTGATGTGTGTGCGTTTGTGTTATTAAATAATACTACCGTATTTAAAAAAGAGACTTCCTTTTGTGCACACACAGAAATTGAAAAGATAATTAAGTTCTAAGCAAAATAAGTCATTCTAACTAACCAATATCTTCCATTTGGACTCCTTTTATAAGCTTGGTCCCAGCAATGTTTTCCTTCATCTTTCAGTCTAAAGGCCTATCATGACTACGGCTTGCTTTGTTTTCTCCTTTATACTTCCTGGTAACGAAGATTCTCACTATATCACATGAGTGCATGCTCCGAGTGTTAATAAAGGTGTTTGTTCATACCATGCTTGTTTGTGTGTGTTATGATGACTATGACTGATCTATTCAACTCGTGGAACAGATGGGTGTTTATGGGATGCTTAATGGAATTGTAATATAATACTGAACTTTGTCTCATTTTTTTTATTTGATAAATACAAATAATTTTTATTATGATGGCGTAACTATTTTCTAATAATCCTACCAAGTGAAGGCCAGAATGCATTTCTCCCTCAAGTTGAAAATTATACATTGTATCTTTTTCTTTTTTATGTGTAAATAAAGAAACTACATTCACACCACCAGCCTTTTATAGTTCGGTTGAATCGAACCCTGGTGCGTTTAGCCGGTTGGTGCAGTTCGTTTGGGTCGGTGTGAACGCAGTCCGAGACCTCTGAAGTGAACTAAACAACCGGACTCTGGTCCGCTAAAAGAGGTGGTCTCGGAGAGCTTGCTAGTTAACTCAGGAGCGGTTCATCGCTGGTGTGAACGCAGTCCGCACCAAGTGTAGTATTTACGCATTACAAGAACGCGGATGTCTTCAAAAAAGATTTTGTTTAGTTAAAGAGGTTGTTTAGTTAAAGAGTGAAGCAGAATGAAGTGTTGAACAGTGTTCTAACAGTAAAAATGCTCCGTCAACTATACACAGGGGCGGACTGGGACTAAAAATCAGCCCGGGAAACTCGACCTGCCGACCGGCCCAACTCGGTAGTCGGTACCGCTAGTCAAATGTCAACGGGGACGGGGGTTGCTAGTGAATTGTCCGACCGGCCCACTTTGGTACCGGCCCACCGGGAAAACTCCCGGTATTCCCAATGGCCAATAGGCCGCCCCTATAGGATATCCATAGCACCCCCCAAGCACCGCCAAGAACTGTATGTGTCTTTTTTTATTTTTACCTGTGAAATTCATAATTTGAAAAATGATTGATTCGAAAAAAAATATGCCACAGAACAAGTACTTCTGGGTCTCTGTGTTTCATTCAAGCTCGGCTCTGTGTGTGTGTGGCAGGCGCACATTTAGTGTGATTAAGCGAGCGAGAGAGAGAGCTCACCGGTGCCAGGGACCGTGTTGTTAGCATCTGTTTAGCTAACTGCACTAACGGATATAAGACTGAGGGACTCAGGTGAGCTTAAGGACTCTCTGAGTGTTTAGATAGTTAACTTTAGTCTAAGTTATCTCAGTGGGTCTCAAACCGTTTTGTGAGGATTTATGTAAACAATTATTTCCGAGGCACACCTTCATATGATCATTATAGTTATAAAACAATAAGGGAATAAATGAAAAACCGTTATGAAATACTATGACAGTAAAACAAGAATAGAGTTTAAAAGGGGAGTTATTTGTAAAATATCCATAAAGAAAAATAAATCTGTTCATATGGGTGTTGAGAGATGTATCCATAGATCTCTCATGTTGCTCTCAAAGTGCACCAGATTGATGCTTTTAACTTCAACATTTAAAAAAAAAAAATCTTCCCGGGGGGCCCCCCCTAGAGGATGTTAGGTCCACCCCCCACTTGTAAACATAGCACTTTACCCCTGCTTACACCTATATGCCGTGAGCTGATTATCGAGCCTTCATTGTAACAAGTATAGTCTATTGTGTATTTGCAGTAGAAAATTAAACTGTAGCGCCGGTACATTAAAGGGAAACCCTAAAAGTTTGAGCACCCTCTATGAAACGTCAAGCTACCCCACAGCATCCCCACTGGCGGAGGCTCCGGTAGAAATTGTCGGGATTTGCGTTTTTACCCCCTTAATGTCTGACCAATGGTTGAACACATGACTTGTGTTTAAAGTTTATAGTCCGTTTGAGTTTTGCCCGTGTGAAGGTTACCGAACATTCTGAAAAATGTAACAATCTCTCGTCTGGTGCGCACCTGAAAACGGACTATTAGGTGTGAATGCGACCTAACAAACAATACTTTTAGCGATGCATCCTAAGGAGTATATGTGTACCAAATGTCATGGTAATCCATCAAATAGTTGACATATTTCAATCTGAGCCAAAGTTTTAGACTGGCTCACTGAAAAACAATGATGTTATCTATATGGCTACATTTTTTTATTTTTTTGTATGACATATTTACATTGAAGGTCAAGACTGTAAGTAAAAAAAACGACAACCTGAAACACAGTACAGTAAATCTAATCCCATTAAGCCATTTATTTTTTACTGCAAGGAACACTTTTTTTAGGACATATTCTGCTAATTTTGAGGTTCAAATTTATATTTGTTGCTTCTTCTGTGACATGTTCCCATGCTTGAAAGTTCAAAAAGCTCTTTATTCTTCTCATACTGCCACCTCTTATCACCCTCTGTCCGAAACCAGAGCCCAGTCTTTTCTGATTGGTGATTAGTGATTTGTCAAGAGCTAAGAGATGTCCCGCCCCTTAACGTACAATGTGTTGGAGCACTAGCCAATGAAACACAGGCGTTGCATCGTGATGCCATTATGACATTCAGGCAGGGGGGGGGGGGGGGGGATTCTAGCCTTGGAAAACCCCTTACATGTGCAACAACTTATATTACACACTACAGGAAAGGGAAAACCCCAAAAAGCAAAATAGGGCCCCTTAAAAACAACAGTTCACCGAAAATACGCCTTCGGTTTCAATATTTTCTTAAAATGTACATAGACTTACACACGTGCATACATGTTTGAGAATATGCGTGATATATACTTCAGACCCTTAAATCTTCATCATGTATGTAATCTAGATGGTGGTATTAAATTGCTACTTTAACACTCCTAACCTTTAGAGGGGGAGCCTCCTCTACTTCAAATATTAGGGAATACACACTATAGCATTAATGTGCTGTTTACACGAGAACGCAAACGGTTGTATCCGCAACTTTTCTCTTTCGTTTAGCCCGTTCGTTCACACAACGCCGTAACGGAAACGCGAAAACGGACCCCGCAAACCATAACGGGTCCCAAGGTGCATAGATCTGCAACCGGAACGCTCTGGGGGGGGCAAACGGCTCCATGTGTACGCCCTATACGATCATTTCCTGATAACGATGAGCCATAGCCCCGCCCAAGGTTGTAACTTAGGTTTAAGAAGTGGGGGGGACACAAAACAGGGGGTCCTCCGCAATGAAACATTGTTCTCGATTTAATTCCATTTCCTGCCTTTCTACAAATATATATTAGGGACTATGGTGTTAACTAATCCAAGAAAAATGTGTAGTGTATATAATGAGTGCGCAAACGTATCTATCCATGAACCTGCTTTATTTGTGATGACCTCACATAGGGATGTGAGGTGCACCCCCGGTAAGATTTTTTTCTTTTAATTGAAGTTAAAGGCATCAATCTGGTGCACAAATGAAGAGATGTATGGATACAGCTCTCAACATATGAAACAGAACTGTATATATATTTCAATATTCAAAAAACCATTCGAATATGCTCATAACCAATAACACATCATTGATCAACTCCTCTCTCCTATCTTTATCTTACCTAGTCTCAGGGCTCGACATTAAGGACTAGATGGCCCGGGGCCATCTAGTATTTAGCTCGGGCAATGAAGCCTCACCTGCTGGTTGCCCGATCGGGCAATCTATTATGCCAGTATCATGCAGCTCGCGGATCAGTAATGAGTGACCCGACAGTAAAACTAAACATATCTATAACTAGTTACGGTAGTTTGAGAGGTAATTAAAATAGCTACGTGTGATATTCTAACCTGAAGTGTGTGTTTTGTCCGCTCACCGCTGCATGTGATCATGCAGAGCTGTGTGTCGACTCGTCAGCAGCAGCTGATCTCTCTCTCCCGTCAGATTAGATTTCACTCGCGTTTATGTCCATATCGATCAGATCCAGCTAGTTCTAGCTAATGATATGACTACCTGCTTATTAAAAGACACCTAAACAATAAGTGTCGCTATGCAACTGGGTGAGGCCACAAAGTATAGCGCAGCATTATGCATTTGTTTACATGCCCGCCGGAACCCAGAGGCATTACCAACAGATCAACGCACAATCAACCCATACAGGACATCTCTTTCTCCACATTAAGTGTTAGACATTAGAATTGACTATTCTTGTCTGTCACATACTCTTCTTGTCTGTCACATACTCTTCTTGTCTGTCACATAAGTGGCGCAACTGAAGCGGTATTGCACTAAAGGGAAATTATTTTGACCGGACATTTTGACCGAAGAGATTTAGATTTGCCGGCTAACTCTGACGTCGCCATTTTGTGTGCTTCGCGGATGCGCTCGGCTCCTCTCGACTGCTGCTCGGGTCTGCTCGGTCAGCTTCCGGATGAGGAGGCATTCGTTCGACCAACTTACAGTAGATAACATTACAAACATTTTTAACAGGGGCCATAATAGTGTAAATAATGTTTGTTTTGGCAGTTATAACTGAATGTAATGTTTTCTACTCTTTTACATCTGGGAAGGCATTTGCCTTCATCAGATAGAAAGTGTCTTGACCAACAACTTAAGTATTTCTTATAGCTATGCAGGGCATGCAAGCGAGCAAACACAAACAAGAACAAACAAACAAGTGAAATGAAGAATAACATTAAAATTGAACAATATAATATTGTGGTGGTTCATCTTATAATTCAGTCTAGAGCAGTGCTTCTCAAAGTGTGGTCCGCGGACCACTGGTGGTCCGTGAGCGCCCCCTAGTGGTCCGTGAGTATATTGGTCAAATTTCACATTTGAAATAAATGAATTTAAGTTTTTCACACTCTCGCGGGAATATCTCCGCAATGGAACGAGCTTAAGTTTCACTTTCGATTGCATGATATAGCCCAGCGCAACACCTTCATCACACATGTTGCCACTTGTTTGTACCATTTGCATGCGATTTGTAATCTGTTCTAGATAAACGATGTGTCTTTGGATATTTTTGGAGTTAGGTGGTCCGCGAGTGGTTTTTTATTGGTTAAGTGGTCCCTGGTATGAAAAAAACACTGGTCTAGAGAATGCACCAGACAGCATCTAAGACCTGCAAAAATCTAAATGTTCTAGGGGGAGGCCCCCCAAACCCTTCGTGCGTCATTTAGTCCGCGAGCATTTTTCAGGGCAATCTCTATTGGGCTCAGGGCCATCTGTAAATTAGCTTATGGCGCATTTCCACTGCAGCGGGTAGCCCCGTTTAAGCGTCCTCAAGCGGCCAGGCCAGTTTTTGGTGGCCTTTCCATATAGCCTAGTACCGGCTAGCGGGTACTTTTTCCGGCCCCATAAAATCGTGGTTCTATCAGACAGGGCTGAACTAGTGACGTCAACACTCTCGACTGCTGATTGATCAGAGAGAATCGTCACAAGATCGCGCGCGAGTTCATCCCTAGCGTCGCATATATATTTAGAAGCAAGCTTGCAGCATTTTTATAAACAGCATTTTGTAAACGGAGGAGCTACAAAATGGCTACGTCTAATAAGAAAAGTACACCGTGGTCGACCGAGGAGGTGACGACGTTCCTACATCTCATTGGGGATGATCAAATCCAGCGGGAGCTCGACGGAACAACTCGAAATGTGAACAAAAACAAAGCCAATCGCCCGGCCAAACAGCGTTGCTACCCCAGGTCCTAAACTGTAATGGAAATGCGCCACGGCCTCGGACGGCCAGCGAGGCAGCCCGAGGCCAGAGCGAGGACGCTTAGGGACGCTTAAACGGGGCTACCCCGTTGCAGTGGAAATGCGCCATTAGATGGCCCACAGGGCCATCTCCCAAAATCCTTAATGTCATGCACTGTAGTCTGCATTCTTTCTTTTTATGTATGCATATTTGACTAATCACTCCGCTTTCAAACTGTCTTTTTTATTGTTTACTGACATTGGAATTCTTTTTTTACTTATTTTGAACAACTATATTAAATAGATGGAAATATTTGTTGTTTACATAGATGACCAAACCGTTTGAGACCCACTGAGATAACTTAAGACTAAAGTTTACAATTTAATCGCTCAGCGAGTCCTTTACCTCCCTGAGCTGACGTTATCTCAGCCTCTCAGTGAGTCCCACAGGAGAGAGCTCTCCCTCTCCTTATTGTTGAAACAGCTTCTATCTCCGTTAGCTCCGAGCTAGCACCAGATGCTAACAACAACCCCCGTCTCTCTCTCTCTTTCTCTCTCTCTGCGCTCCTGCCACACACACACACAGACGCTCCTCTGTGACGATGACCGCTTGCGTAACAAAAAAACAGGGGGGGACATGTCCCCCCTGTCCCCAGTGGAAA